TAAAATAGTTTTTATATATAAGATTGTAGGTTTGATTACTTCATCTGAATACTGCCTGTTCACATTCTTTGACCACTTTTAAATTGTGGAATAGTTCTTATTTCTATAAATTTGACTCAGTTTTCTATATATTTGAGAAATGGGGCCTTCATCAGAGATTTTTTTTCAGTTATGATTACTAACTATGCATTTTCCTCTATCTTGTTTTCCCCCGTTTATCCTACACACACACTCTCTCTCCCCTTTCACCCTGTCCATCCTCAAAAATGTTTTGCTCCTGACTACACTTCCCCCAATCCGCCCTCCCTTCTATCAGCCCACCACCTTTTCTTATGCTCTTCCCCTCCTACTTTTCTGGAGGGTAAGATATGTTTCTATACCCAACTGAATGTGTCTATTATTCCCTCTTTGAGCCATTCTTATGAGAGTAAGATTCAAATGCTCCCATCTGCCTCTCCCATCTTCCCCTTTACTGTAAAAACTCTTTCATGACTCTCTTATGTGAAATAATTTACCCCATTCTACCTCTCCCTTTCTCCTTCAAGTACATTCCTCTTTCTCATCCCTCAATTTTAATTTTTAGATACCACCTCATCATACTCAACTCCTTCTAAGTGCCCTAATAATGAGAAAGTTCTTAAAAGTTACGAGTATCATTTTCCCATGAAGGAATGTAAACAGTTTAACCTTATTAAATTCCTTACGATCTCTCTTTCCTGTTTACCTTTTTATGCTTCTCTTGAATCTTGTATTTGAAAGTCAAAATTTCTATTCAGCTCTGGTCTTTGCACAAGGAATGCTTGAAAGTCCTCTGTTTCATTGAATATCCATTTTCCCCCCTGAAGGATTATACTTAGTTTTGCTGACTAGGTTATTCTTGGTTGTAATCCTAACTTCTTTGCCTTCTAGAATTCTTTAATGCAGAAGCTGCTAAATCTTGTGTGATCCTGACTATGGCTCCACATTATTCAAATTGTTTCTTTCTGGCTGCTTACAATATTTTCCTTTCGATCTGTAAGTTCTGGAATTTGGCTATAATATTCCTGGGAGTTTTCATTTTGGGATCTCTTCTAAGAGGTCCTGGTGGTAAAATTCAGAGAATGAGGGATGGCTGATCTGGGTTCTACCTCAAAATGGAGATTCCAGAAAGAACTCATCAATGAACAAAAGGGTCAGTAGGGGCAAAAGGAAGAGGCAGATGGGTAATGGTCATGGAATTCAGAGAAAGAAATATGTAATGTCACCTAAATTTTAAGGCATGATCTAGAAAGTCAAATCTCATTCTCAGACTTCATTTGCTTAACCAACTTCTCACTTTCCAAGTTTCTCTCTCCTATGACTCTACTACTTTCAACTGGTAGCAGTGATAAACTACCCCTGCACCCAGAAGGGCTCTAATTTCTTACCAGGACTTCTTGAATCTTATATGTGCTTCCTCAACTTCTTCTAATGGTATCTTCTCTGCTACATAGCTAACAAGGAGTTGGTAGTGGGCATGAGGTTTGAGAAGTCTCTGGAGGTATTCTTTCATGTTCATGTTCATGCTTTAGGGATAGAAAACTTTTTTTTTTCTGTATTTATACAGCTTTTGTCAGGGAGTTATCTCAGTACTCCTTTGCAAGAAGTCACCAGCCATCACTATTTCTCCCTTCTTCCTCCATTATTAAAGGAACTCTTACTTCATTGGATCTGCTTTTGGATCTGTGTATGGGATTTTCTTGGCAAAGATATGGAGTAGGTTGGCATTTCCATCTCCAGAAGATTAAGACAAACAGAGGATAAGTAAATTGTCCAAGGCCACACAGTTAGTAAATATCTGAGGCCAGATTTAAACTTGGATCTTCCTAACTCTAGGCCCAGCACTCTATCCACCAAGTCATCGAGCTGTCTGATATATACATAGCTATATACATGAAGGTGCATACATTGTGTAAACTCTATATATAGAAAAAATTACTTATACATAATTAAGGAAAGAACGACCACTTGAAAGAAGTATTCACAATAGGATTACCTTAAATATCAAGGTCCTCTTGTACATTTAAAATTACACAATATGCAAGTAAATTTTCAGGGACACATTTACACAAAGAGTCTCTCTACCAAAATAAGTTAAACATAAACCTTAGTGCTAAAGATTTGTTTAAAGATTTTTTTTTTGCATTTAATACATGTATAGTCAATATTATTACATAATGAAGTAAAATATCCTTTGGCAATTACTTTTGATAAATTAAGCATCAGAGTAAATCAATAACACTAAAATAAGATGCATTTTTTAGCACCCATCTTCCACAAAAAACCCATCAATATACTCTAACATCTCTCCTAAACACTGGATGGAGGGGAGAACTAATCAGTATGATAATTGTATGGTTTTTGTCTAACATACAATATTATGATTTTGTACAAATTTATATACATTTCAATTCACTGAATCATAGAATTTTAGTCCTGGAAGATACCATAAATAAATCTATAAATATCAGCATATGAATAACATTCTACATTCTTTTCTCTTTAATATAACATCTATAAAACAGACAGGTTTAAAACATTATATTTACTTTGTGGAAAATTGAACCAAAAAAATTAGTACATCACCCTCTGTACACAGTCATACTAGGGTTATAGCATGAGGATCTTCGGTTCTAATTTAGGGGTCATTTCTGCATACCACCTTACCTTCCATTTCCCTCCACAACAAACCCCTTTGACATTTTCCATCCCAGGACAAATCCTTCCCTGTCCTCCAAAAGGAAGCAAAATCTCAGTCCTTGCCCAGCCCCTACTCTAAATGGCAGTGAAAACTGGGTAAAGGAAAGACCTCTTTAATTGTAGAGTGGATATCTGATCACCTAACTAGGAGTAGGAATCAAGTCATTGTTGAAAGGAAAAAGTCATCAGTTATAATACTGCACTAAACAGTACCTATATGGAACTCAGAGTCCCTGTAAAATATTATTGAAAAGATGGCAGAAATCTGGATACTTAGCTTAATATTTTGCCATAGGTTTGGCTAGGGGAAAAAATCAGACTCCATATAATTCTAGTGTTCGTGGAAAATACCTGATTTTAGAAGTGAAATAAAAATATGACCGCAAACTTATATCAGGTTTTTTTTTCTGTTATTTTTACTGAAGCAAGGCTCTTTAAAATCCAAAGTGTCATATATAGATGCTTTAGGTATGCATTTATTCATTACCCCTCAATTGGCACTTATGGAACACTGGATATGTTTAATAGTTCGTGTAGTTTCTCAGTATTAATGTTTCCATTCATCCATTGTTATGCCTCGTGTTAACTTACAGCTTCTGGTAATCTTGTCATAATCCTCTCATTTCTTTAAAAGTTATTACTTTAGCAATTTATTTTCAAGGTAAGCAGTCTTATGATAAAAATATGCTTTTATAAACATACATGTTTAACTAGAATATTTGAATAAAAATGTGCCTCATTAGTGAGAGGTGATTCATCAAATGCCACTCATTTCCACGAAGCCTTTCCTGATCACCTCAGTTAAAAAGGGAATCAACCTTACCTGAACTGATACTACTATTTATTCACCTTTTATGGCAAATACACATTTTTGATTTTAAGGTCCTTGAAGACAGGGGACATATATCTCATTTATCTTTGTATCTCCTCTAGAATCTAGGCCAGTGCCTCACACAGAGCAGACACTCAATGTTTGCAGTTTATTGGATGAAGAAAAATCTAATATGCAAATTGTCTCTATAGCTGAATTGACAAAAAGAATTGTTACTTCACAAATAATGTGAAAAGGTCATAAGGCTAAAAAATAAAAGATTAGATTTTATTTTCTTTTGAGGGTTTGAGAGAAAATATTAGCTCTGCATGTTTTTTCCCCTAACTTGGCTTATTTCTGACTGTGGGGAAGAAAGCTGCTGCACCTGTATAATTCAAGCACAGGATACTTTTAAATGAGAATAAATTGTCAACTCCATAATGGAAGTGAGTTGTAAGAGTATGGGCTTTCCTGTTCCCCCACCCCCATAAGGTTTCCTCTAACTACAGAAAGATCCTTAAGAAACAAGAACTTTTCTTTTTGTAAAGTTCTGCCCTGTCCCCTAAATGCCCTCAGCTTCTGGGCAGTACAGCCTCTGTTCACTCCAGATGTGCAGTGATGCCACAGTATCTAGCCTTAGAGCCTGTCTAGGTTATCACAGGCACACAGACAAAAGTGGTCAAAAGAGGTTCACTCAAATCTGTTAAACTAAATTCAAAAGGCCATTTAAGCATTTATGTACAAAGCATTATATTAGGTTCTGGGGATATAAATATAAAAATTAAACAATTTTTGCTCTCAAGAAGCTAACATTCTACTTAGGGAATACAAAATACAGACAACAGAAAAGAATTTCTTTGGGTTGGGAGTAAAGCACTAACAACTGTTAGTGGACGAGAGTTTGGCCTAAAGGGAACTAAGGTTTCTGGGAGGCGGAGCTGGAGAATAGAAACCATTGTGCACCTGTGTCAAAAGGCAAGGGGGAGATGGAACGACATGTAGGGGATTAGCAATTAGACCCATCTGTCTGGAATGAAGAATATGGAGTCAGTTAGGAAAGAGACATTTAATGTCCCCCTTCACAGTATGGCTCTAGCCTAACAGGAGGCTATTTCATCCTACACATGACAGGAAGCTGCTGAAGTAACTCTGGCAGGGAAGTTGAACTGGGCTTCAGGAATATCACTTTGGAAGTTCCGCAGAGGACTGACTGAAAAGGGAAGAGATGGGATATGCAGGAAGGCCAACCGGGAAGCTGTTTACAGTAATTTAGGTAGGAGTTGGTGAGGGCCTACGTTAGGATGGAGAACAGGAGAGAGGTCGCAGAGGCAGAACTGACAAGATTTGGCCAATGAGGGAGGGTAAAAAAGCGGAGGATGATTTTCAGGCTACAAACCTAGGAAACCGGGGGGACGGCGGTGCCCTTGACAGAAAATGGAAGTTTTAATATTTATTAATGAGGCCAAGCAACTGAAAAAGATACATGTTTAATACAAGTATTTAAGATAAGTCTACCCATGTAATACAAAACTTTTGAGGAAGGTTATGCAAATCTTGAATGTTGAGCCTCCAGTATGTCACTATAATCATGAAATCTCACAGACAAAAAGAAAGCCTCACAGCCCCAAACAGAACGTACTGCTCACGCTGAAACTGAATCTTTGTCACACTGGCACCACAGACTTCCTGTATATCTCTTAAACAAGCTAGCTTCTGGTTACTTGCTGATCTTTTCAGAATCCAGTGATATCTTTCAGATGATATTACTGATAAAACATTTTCACCAGATGCAGGATTGCTCTGGTTTAAAGTTAAAAAAAAAAGTTCTCTTCCTTAAAACATGCTGTTAATTCCCAGAACAGTGCTGTTGAACTTGCAAGTATTTCACACATCCTGTGGAATGAATGAAATTATCAGTGTATAGTCTTAAACTCCTAGGTGACAGTCTGAAGGATGAATAATGTTTTTAATCTGCAGTGTTACTGGAAGGCTGCAGCCCAAGAGCAACTTCTAAGCTGCCATGTTGTCAAACACTGTTGTATAAAGGCTGAATAAAATTGATACTCTATGAAATCCAAACTTCATTCCACTAGTGGTAAGAACTACATTGGATGGGTGCAACATCATTTTAAAAACCACCAGTTTCTTCATGGTGAATTTTTTTGAACAGTAAACTTGCTCTTTGGTTGTGAGAGTCCAAATACTTTTTATAAGGCTGATTCAATACCAAAATCTGGCTAGACTTTACAATTTTCCCATTTCTTTCTATGTATTCCATTGTAGACCAAAGCAACACTCAAATTCTGAGTGCTTATATTTCATCTGTTTCTAGGTAGCTTGGTTAGTTAAAAAAGAAAAGATCAAAACAAAACAAAAAACCCCATGGTGCTAATGCATCCAAAGGGTTGTACGCAGGGGAAGATGGTTCTATTGCCAACCCCTGCACACATGTCCATGGCCATCTAGCTTTCAAATGCATGCCTTTAGTCATAAGGAGGACCAGGCAAGATGGCACAAGAATTGCCATTGTCAAATTTACTGCCTTTTTGGAAAATATTAATGGTGCTGTCTTTGAAATCCTGTGGAATTTTCTTGACAAATGAATAAAGACAATACTATAGTATTATTGAGCACTTAGACTTTCTGCTGTAATCATGGAACAAGAAAGAGAGTTTGGAAGGAACAAGAAGAGTTTAAAAAGTACTTGTGACTGTCACCTGAACCTAGAACAGAGGTGTTAAAGTGCACTTATTTTCAAAAACTGTGTTTCTTTTGGGGTAATGAAAGGAAATAGCAAGATAATTTTTTTCAAAGAGAAGATTTGAGGATTATTAGTTTGATAGAGTACTATCTCCACTCACCAAAAATTAACTTGGCATAGTTCCAAAATTCTTCAGTGCAAAAATAATAGCTTTAAGATAAAGGGAATGTTACATATATTTTCCAGTGAATAAATATGAAAAAAATAAACCTAAAAGTACTATCAATTCACATATTTAAATAGCATCTCGATAATCATAGTACCTTGAAAATGATTCTGTTTCATAAAGGGATCTGAGATATACGTATTCACCAAGACTAAAGTCACCTAATTTTGAAGAATTTAAAGGACATGATAGAAGGTTTTTTTTTTTTTTTGGTATAAATGGAAAGAATCTACATCTTGGCTTTTGAAGCAACCTGCTTATTTATAGCCTGTATAGTGTTTTGATCATTAAACTCCAAACAACCTTTTATATTACAACAGTCTTCTGGAATTGCAATTTAAATAGAATTTCCATTCTAAAAATAAAATATACAAAGTATGTTCCGAAACCCCTTTTAAATTGGTTACTGTTAAATAAAGATTGGACAGGATTGGAAGTTGAATTCTCAATTTTTTGTTAGTGCAAATTTTCTTGGAGAATTCCACTGAGGAAATGATTCAGATGTATAAAGAACAACATGCTTCTTTTGTTTTCTCTCGTGTTTTTCTTTTTTTTCTTTCTTCTCCTAAAAATAAAAGAGAAGGCTGTAACTATTTTATAATGTAGTAATATTAATAATTATACTTATAAAGTGCTTTACAAATTTCAAATTACTTTACCTATGTTATCTCTTTTGACCTACACAAAAACTTTGGGAGACACATAATGCTGGTATTAGAATTTTCATTTTAAGATGAGATAGCAGAGGTCAGAGATATTCAGTGATGTGCAAGTTGTCCCAGCTAGTAAGTGGTAGAGGCATGGCTCAAACTCAGGTTGGCAAAATACAAGGAACTGAACATTGATGAACTGTGAGGCTTAGTTTACTGCTCTACACACTAACTTACAATGGAATATTGCTAATTAGCAGAGATTTAGGTTAAATGTATAAATTTTTTGTCAATAAATTTTGCCAACTAATAAAAAGTTTAAAATTTATCTTTTATTCTAGGTGGGGAGGAGGGAAAGGTCTGTGTGCTGTTTTTATTTTAATAAAAAGAAAAAACTACATTATAATTCTGAACTTAAAAGTCCATTTCACAGAGGGATAGGGTGGTAACAATTCTGCTGATGGGTAGACATTTTTAAGGTATATATGGTAGAAATGGGAAGTTTTTTCATCAAATAAAACTATATACAAGATACACAATAAGATATTTGAATGAAGAAAAAACATCAAATGGGTAAATATCATAGATTACATTTGACGTACATACAAAAGAGCATTTTTTCCAGAAGAAATCAAATTTAAAAGAGAAATAAATCTTTATCTAAGTAATATAAGATATATAGGTATGATAAGTTAATCAGATGAAAAAGAGATGTTTTATTTTGGTTATCCATATAGCCTTTATCTATATATCCTCTAAAACTTCTATTTTGCTTTTTCACCTAATTAAATTATGTATATACATACATATATAAAACTATATACTTACATATATTATATATCTATGCCTATCTATGTATTTTCCTTTTATTTTTAAATTTGATTTCATTTAGACAAAATGCTATTGCCTGCCTGTATTTGTTTATGATGTTGAAAACATTCTTATTATCCAAAAATGTTCCAATGTTGATCAAATTAACTACCCTTTTAACTACACTGTGATGCTAAAACAATGATCTCACCAGTACTTGATAAGCTAAACAGTACCCTAGGGTTGCAAAGAGCTAATCTGCTTCCTTGAGTACCTAATTTACTATCAAGAAACGTCAGATTCAGGAGAAGAAAAAGTCTGCTACATAGCTAGAACTAGACAGAATAAAACTGTATACATATATTAGAAGGTGGTTATGAAGATTAAATATGATTTAAAATGCTAATTAACTGCAATTTTCTGAGGACATCTGTAATACAGTCTGTCATCCAATTCAACTCAACAAATATTTTTGATGTGCCTGCTATGGGGCAAAGCACTTGCCAGTTGTTAAGAGGGCCGTTTCAGTAGGGAAGTGGGTTCAGAAGCCCAATTGTAAAGAACTGATAAATGGGTTGTGTGGAAATAGAGGCAGGGAGGGTAAATAACTATGTATTTGGCAATGAAATAGAGGGCAGATGTTGAATGATAGCTTGACAGGGTCAACACAGGTTTTAAAATTATTATTAATAATAACCCAAACATGTTTGAAGGCAGTGGGGATATAGGGAAGAAATACAAAAGATGATGTAAGCTCCTAGAGAAGACTAGAGGAAAGGCTGGATGACGATACAGAAGAGTAGTGAGGTATGGTGTAGGGAACAGCCTAGAACATAGGGAAATAGACATGTGAGTCTAGAGAATAAACAGCAAGGTGAAACAAGTATGCAGATCTCATTAGACTGTGTCATCTGCCCTTGTGTCCTGTGTGCCGCCTGATAAATAAATTAAATCTTTCTTCCCATGAGGCCAGAAAGTCTCATTGACAGGAGAGCAGAAGCAAGTACCCTGTATAAAAGATGATGTTCTGTGAGTCCTTTCCTTTTCTGTATTTCATCTCTCAGAAGGGCTTTATGCCATCCCCGACTATTTCTTCCTTTGCTGTAGTCTTCTTCCCAAAGCCAACCCCTCTAACTGTGTCCTGGATTCTGTGTTCTCTCAGAAACTGCCCTTTTGATGATCTACTTGCTCTCTTATATTCAATCTCTCACTCCTGGGGAGTGTAACATAGTAGGCCACTGGACCTGGATTAAAGGAAACCTCAGTCTGTTTTCTGGAAGACCTCAGCACAGATACTTATTAGTGGTGTGGCTGCAAGTGAACTAACTTCTATGAGCATCAGTTTCTTCATTTGAGAAATGGGAGTAATAACAGCACGTACTTGAGATAATGCATACAAAACACTTTGCAAATCTTAAAGAGCTATGTAAACAGCTAACAAAAATAATCATTATTTTATTCTCATCTTTTTTTGATGAGGTTCAAGTAGAAATGGCCCTTATACAAGTTATTATCTTAATATTTCTTTACATTCAGTGTTCTGCAGGTTACTGACCCAGGTGGATAAAATAAATGCTGTTTGTAATTGTATTAGGATGCAATAGCTTATTCCCTATATGCTCACTGCAAACATCCTTGGTACTGGTCCATTGGCAGACAGGACAACAAGGACAGCCACAACTTCATATATTTTAAAACTTTTCATTCCATGTAGTTTGGCTGGGCATTTAGGATGGCAAAACCTATTCCTTTTTTATGAATCAATTATTAAATCAGTACAATAGTGAGGTTGATGAAGATTGTTCAGCACCGGTACAGTTCATTGGTTGTACTATATAGGATATTCTGAGGAATGCATTTGTTTTATAGAGATTTATCATCTAACCATCCATAAAAGACATACATTTCTGATGCATAAATCTAGAGACCAGGACATATCTTGCTGGTATTTATTTGATAGATGCAAAATTTTTATAGCTTTCAGTGATGTGTTACAGGATTTTCCACTGTTTCCTCGGATAATTACCAGGTTGTAAGCTCATCTTCTGGATACTAAGTGATGACATCACAAGGACAACCCTGGTAGCAGAAAGAATCACTGTAATGATATGTATCTTGTCTTCTTCACACATATTTTTGACTTCTCCCACTGTGTGTCTACATTTTATAAGTTTTTCATTCACTGTTATTTGACGATTATGAATATTCTGCATGGTGCCATCTACCAAGTTTTTGTCAATGCTGTGTCTGAGTAGCTGTGGACAATGGTTTTGTCTATAATGTTTCAGATCTAATAGAGTTTACTAGTTAAGCTCTCAATGATGTAGTGAGGTGTGCAAGGCTTCTACTATTTCCTTGCATAGTTTGCATTAAGTACAGGCAACCTTACCATAATTTCTTGTGGTAATGGCCTAGTACTGAATTGCTATCATAAACACCTGCTTTTGTAAACAAAAATGAATAACTCAGCCATCTGAAGATGGTGGAGTAGGTCAGAAAATACCAGGCTCTCCAAATTTCCCCCCAAAACAAGACAGAATATCACTTCAAAGTGAATGCCGAATGGCAGAAATAAATAAATAAATAAATAAATAAAAGTTAGGGTAAAGCAGCTGTCATTTTAAGACAACTTGAGAGGACCTTGGGAAAGAGTGAAGAGCAAACATCTCTGGGAAGACTGCTGAATCAACAAATAGCAAGCCTTGGGGGGCGGCTGGGTTGGGAGGCAGCCTCACAGCAGAAACTTTCACCTTACAGACAGTATGGGGGTCAGACAACTGAGCAGGGAAACAGTGAAGGACCTTCTGGTGTCTCATAATGCCAGGCCCAGTGGTGCTAATCAGACGTGGTCCCAGGCTGTGGCTATGGGTGAGGAGGAGTGAGCACATGCCCAGGAGCAGAGGGGCAGCGATCCTGCAGGTTGTCGGCACTTCCAGGAGAGCAGAATCCCTGGTTTCAGTTCAAGGGCAGAGGAATGAACTGAGGTTTACAGCTAGGAGGGACTGCAGGGAAGAAGAGCAGTTGTGGGACACTGTGGCTTGGGGCCGTAGTCATGTTAGGGGTGGAGAGGAATGCCCAAGGTTTGCCTGGACAGAGCTCAGAAAATAACAATAAGAAGGAAAATAATAGGTCGGAGCCAAGATGGTGGAGGGAAAGCAGTGACTTGCTTGAGCTCTCCCCCAAACCCTTCCAAATACCTGTAAAAAATGGCTCCGAACAAATTCTAAAGCAGCAGAACCCACAAAAAGACAGAGTGAAACACATTTCCAGTCCAAGACAGCCAGGTTGGTTGATCAGCAAGGTATATCGCGCCAGGCAGGGAGAGCAGCGCAGTTTGGCGTGCAGGCAGAACAGGCCTCAGAGAACCTGGAGCAGCCCTCAGAATACAAAATCCTAGCCAGTTGTGGCGGTTTCTAGACTTCTCAACCTACAAACGCCAAAGAAGGTAAGTAGGAAAAGTCTGTGTCTGCGGTGTGAGAGAGTGGTGTGGTGGTCTCAGCTCTAGACCCCAGTCTTGCCCCCGGGGTGGTGACTCTTCCTGAGCTTCTGGCCCACAGATTGAGGAGGGATCAAGTGGCTGATCAGAGGGGGATTGCTGGGATCTCTTTGCTGGGGCTGAGGCAGGATTCTCATGCTTTGCCGGGGCTGAGGCAGGATTCTCATGCTTTGCCCGTGCTTAGATCTGGGTCACAGTTCTGGGTGGTGATCCTGGGGTGAGGATGAGTGCTGGTGTGGTGGAGCTTGTAGTAGTGGTGGAGAGGAAATCCTCCTCCTGGTTCCAAGGCAGAAAAGAGTTCTTGTGGTCATCAGATCACAGGCCAGGAAAGAACTAAGCACCTCGTCCCTTTTCATACCACCTTGGAAGAACTGAAAATTTACAGGTGCCTAGAAGTATCTCTGAAAACAGCTGCACAAAACCAGCAAAGCTTAGGACAGTATTCTCCACACTGGAAGCACAACCCTACCTTAACAAAGAGTTTATAACTCAAGTAATTGGCTGGGATCATGAGCAAACCTCACAAAAAAAGTCAGACCATAGAATCTTTCTTTGGTGACAAGAAGATTGAAATATACAACCAGAAGAAGACAACAAAGTCAAAGCTCC